TTTGTCTTTTTTTTTTTTTAAATCTTTCTTCTTTACAATATTTCTCCGTGAGGTTTGACCAAAACCTTGCCGCCTTGGGAATGGGGCTGCAGGGGCGCAGCGGGTGCGCTGTGCGTGCCCTGCTGTCAGCTGCCGACACCGGGCCAACTCGCTCGCGGCTGACCACGGCTTTCTCTTTCTCTTTTACACATCTGCATGCACACATATATGTATAGGTATATATGTTTGTGTATATGCACACACATATATGTATCAGCTAGAAAACAAAGGTTTGGAATGGAAACGCCTGCACTTTGGGGCAGCATTTAACCCGTAAGGGAAGCTAGGGAGAAAATTCTTCCTCGCACCTAACACTGGGCTTTTCCTCCTGGACGAATGGACCTTCTTTTGCTTTTTTTTTTTTTTTAATTTCATTTTTTTGCTTTTCTATTTTTGGGGGAGGGGGGGAGTGTTATTTTTCTTTGTGCTCTCTCCAGGTCCAGGTGTGCTCTTCACCCTCCAGGGCAGCTATTAACGGGCTAGAGGAGAAAGGAAGATCTTCAGGGGAAATCCTCTCCCATCATGGGTGTTCTTACCGTGTCCCTAAACCTTCTAGTAACGGCCTTCGTGACCCTGGAGCAGGCAAACGGCCGAGCTGCGCACAGCCCAGCGGCTCCTGCGCTGGTTCTTTCTTTCTCCCATCTAAAAGCCTGAGTACGAAGGATGAGACAAACTCCTCCATCCCCCATTCAGTGACTGTGGAAGGGAGGTTACAGGGGGATTTTTCAGTACCTGTTGCCTTCGCTGTGCAAGGTGACGAATGGAGATGTGCCCTGGTACCGCAGGGCTCGAGGGCCTCGCGTAGAAATGCTCGTACAAGTCTCCTGCCAAATGTGACGGCAACTCGGTATGGGTGCTTCGCTCCCTGCGGCGCTTTCCCACTTTCTTAAAGTACGGGCACGCTCCGCAGGGTCTCTTTGGAGACTTCAGATAAAACGTCTCTGATGTTTCAGCGTTTGCACGTGGCCCGATCCAGCGAACCACACTATGGCGTAGTGCCTCTTCCCATTTCCGAACTCAGCCTCATCTTGCAGCTGCTCACCTTTTACTGATGTTTGTGATCAGGACTGGTTGCTTTAAACGCAGCCAGCAGGTACAAATACTAAAACTAGCTTGGATGTCCCTAAAGGAGTGTATCAGCCCTGCAGTAAAGCTAGGGGAAAGAATAGAAAATGTGTTTGAGGAATTTAGTACCTGTATAAACTACTTGCTACTCTCTAACTTTTCATTACGGTTTGACTCCCATCAGGACGCGTACGTGTTTGGAGGTCAAGGGCAACCCGGTTTGTTTTGCACACTACTTCAGCTCGGATTGAAACATTAGAAAAAGTAGGAATGTTCACCTTGGAGGGAGGAATCAGATTTGAGTCTGAAATTCAAATCTGCGGAAAATGCAAAGCTTCCACTCCAAATGGGACGTAGATAGAATAGTGATTCATCCCCCATTGAAGTCAATGCCAGAGTTGCTTTTGATTTTAATCGGAATCAAACCCCGTGGGATTATTCTCACTTGCAAACTGGACCGGTCCCATTAAGTAGAGAAGCCACAGCGCTTTTGCAGGGTTGGGTGTTTTCTTTTTTAATTTTATTTTTATTTAATGAAATTGGCTCAGTGTCACAGCACTGGGACGAAACACAAAACCCTTCTGTTTGAGTGCTTTTCGAATATTCTTGGAACATCTGGCACAGCTGTTATTTTGACCCCAAGGCAGGAGCACAACCTCGCTCCTGCTCCAATTCCAATTGGAGCTGACACCAAATATGCCAACGAGAGCGGGGCCGCGCAGCCCAAACCGCGTGGAAGAAATCGCAGCTCCGTGATGGGGCGAGCAACCAGACCAGTCCCGTTGTCACGGTTATAGCTGTCAAACCTAGGCAAAGGCAGACAGGAATGAGATAAACCAGTGGACGCTGTTTCTGGAGATCTGCAAAGGAAGAAGTTACCTCTGTTTTTCTTTAAATTGCTTCCTTATTGTTTTTTTTTTTAAGTCAGCCACTCGTAAACCCAAACGAATGCACACAAGATGAGTTTTGCACCTCCACTTAAATCATATTTGTAGAATTAGTTCATGTACTACTGAACGTGCCTTCTCTATATGGCCATATTTCTGAATTTGCGTGAGCTTCATTTCCTTGTCTTGCATCACGGAGACGATAGCGTTTTCCCTACAGAAAAGATTGTGGCGATAGCTCAGATCGGAGTGAAACAGACGCTGGAGATCCAAGCGGAGCTATCTCATCTCTCCGATCAGTAATATTTGATATCTAAATCTGACTTATTCTAAACAGCGGGAATTTGTAACTTTTTATCTGTAAATCTTCTTTCTCCGTGCACCTTCCTGCTTTCGTTTCAGCTCTAAGACTTAACGCTCCTGCTTATGCGTTCATCCCTTAAGTAGTCAGAGCCTTAAATTGTCTCTGGCATACAGGATAATCAGTCCGCTCGTGTGTTAAGCCTCATTATGTGCCTATTAAAATGAAGATTGAATCAAGCATGAGGGTGCCTCCGCTGCCTCCTTCCCTTATGAAATCTGCAAAAACAAGCTGGGGGGGGGGGGGGGGGGGCAAACTGCACGTGTTTTTT